AACATGATGGAAAAGATTCTTCAGATATTTGGCATTTAAAATTGATAAAAGTTCGCAAAGGAACAGTTGTTTACACGTATGTATGAATTTATTGTTTTATCAATGATATGTATACAGGATTTTAATTTGTGTAGTTTTTTTTTTTGAATAGATTTCGAGTGAATCTACGACTTGATAGTAAAGAGCAACGAGTTGATATATATCCAACTGGAACTTTATGTAAGTCAAATAATAAGTAAAAATATTCAATTATTTTTAAATAAACGTTAATTCAGTGACATCTACTTTCATTTTTATATTTTGTCTATCATTTTCATTATCATCAGTTAAACGATTATATCGTACGGTATAAATTGTATCAAATAAATCATTGAAATCTGTGAGAACTTGTTTATCTACCATAATTATTTGTAATAAAATCATAATTGTTGATATAGACAAAAGAATTGTATAGAGCCAAGCTGAAATAATTACTATTTGATTATCGTTTGAAATACGATAGTTTTTGTGAATAATAATTATAATTAATAAACTTAGACCAGTACAAAGAACAGATAAATAAAAACGTATTTTAATAATCAAAAAATTATTTAACGATAATATCGAGCAAAAAATTGTATAAATTGTTAATTGAGCTAATTGATTAAGATTATAACCTACAGAAATGAGTGAAAACGTAGTAAGAATTATTGATATTATTATACTAATATTAAATATGAAAGAGGATGTTGTTGAAATAGTAACAAATTCAATTAATTTCTTTAATACAATTAATATAAATATTGTATTTAAAATATTTAATAATAAATCTAATATTAATATATATTTACGATAAGTAGAAATATGTGGTAATTCAAACAATAATGAAATTTTTTCTCGTTTATCCATTATTACTAATATAATCGTGTAAATATTTAAAACTGATATTCTTAGATTTTTATAAATTTTAACTAATATTTCTTTTTTTTTCCAACAGCTGTTAAAAACAGCTGATACTTTTTCTGATGTCTATTTTATAATAATGTATATCCAATAATATATTTAAATTATCATAATGTTAATATCTATAAAAACTTTTTCGGTTTTAAAAAACAAAAAATATATGATATTTTTATTGTTTGTTCATACTTATTCTATTTAATTTTTCTTTTTTAGTTGGTCACAAAAGAGAAGATTATGTTCAGACAGAATTAAGACGATTAAGACAAAATCTAAAGAGTGAATCTTATAGAATGAGACGTCCAAGACAGTATGTATAGTTTTATATTTTAATATGTAAAATAGAACTATAACATATATTGATCAAATTGAATATAACACAAATATATAACATTAAAGTGTTAATAATCATTTAGTTTTATTTGTTATTTGTAGCAAAGCCTATGAGCCATATGTATACAACGATCTTAGTCCATATTTCGATACGGCACCAGTTGAAAAAGCAATTTATTCAGTATGTATACCAATAACATATATACACAAGGCAATATTATCAAGTATACAAAATTGTTTTCATCAGTCTACCACACATGAATGAGTGCAAGTAGTAGTACTCAAGTATTACTTGAGAACAAAATTTGTGATATTTGTACTTATACTCGTACTTAGAACTTTTTTTTTTATAAATAATTTAAGAATAGAATCGATCAAAATAAGATGTACTTTTCTTTTCCGTGTTTTCTTCGTTTACATTGCATAGTTGAAACGTGAACAGACATAACTATAGAAAGAGAGCAAAAAGAAAATTCTAAATACGATATATGAACATGCAAAGTATTGCCAAAATAAAACTTTCTCCTAGTTTTGTAGAAACTTTGTATTTTTACTCGAATTCAATTTTTGAATACTTGATCTCGAACAACGATTGTACTCGTCTATCTCTCTCTATTAACTACTTTTTCTTCCATTCATAGAAATGATATAAAAAGAAATATTTATTTTTAGACATCCGATTACCCACCAGGTTATTATACGCGTTTAACTGCTCTTAGAATTGTTGAACCATGGGAAGCATATGGTATGGACTATGGTGTGAATTATGAAATATTAAAAAAACGTAAAGCTCGCAGTGCAAGTCATAAACGAATGTAAGCACGCAACAACTATTGAATGTATTGAAGACTAATTATGCTAAACTAACTGTTAATTTGTATAAATACTTATATCACACATTTCGTTTATTGAGCCATTTACACATCTTATTTTGTATTGCATGCACACATAACGCCTTATATTCTATAAATAACCATGTTATAATTAATATTTCTCAGATCATTTCTCTCTAATTGTTATCTATTGTAAACATGACACTATTATAAATAATGGATGTGCTATGCTTTCGATCAGATTTTATATAATAAAGACCAATATTCGCAACGAAACATCCTGTATTTTAGTATCGGAACTCAATCTGGAATGATCATTATACCACCGTTAACAGTACCTTATGGAGGTCAATTGCTGTATGTTGATCCAACAAGAATAGATTATGAAAATCAAAAATCACCGATACGCACAAAATCCGCAGTATCAGCGTACAGTAGACACAATACAATAAAATCGGACAATAATGCAATAAAAACAACATAAACAAAATGTACACTACTATCTTATTTATTTCCTGTAAATTTTTCTCAATGAAATTTTTTCTTGCATGAAATATACTATTACCCTACAGTTTGATAATATCCAGAAAATTTTGTTGATTGTTTTTCTTTTTTTGAACTATCATAAATATTTCATGACTAATTTATATTTTAAGTATAAAAAAACATCTTCACTAATGTGTCAACTTCTTGTTTGTGCGTGTAAAATAACCAAATAAATGTGTTTTGGTTTTTTCATGACACTAACGTAATATGGTATTTGAGGCTTATATGAGTCAGCTATTTACGCTGACCATATTCCAATCAATCAGCACCTATTACAGTGTAAAAACAATCCTAGTGCACGCATTCTCCTTTCTTCGCAATCTTCTAGTTAAAATGTAATCCGATCTCTTAAGTCAATATTTTACACTTGTTTACGTGCTGGATTCTTTGCAACATTATATCCAACCTTTAGACATCAATATGCAGAAGATGATATAATGGATCGTAAAGAGGGCAGTACTCATCTTCCTCAATTTCCAAGTATCAGTATGAAAAAACTGACCGAATATCAGCGAGTATTAACAATGATGGATGTACCTAAAATTCGGTATGTTATGAGAAAGTATTATTGATCAATAATTAAATTTATGAGCTATTTTCTATTTAGAAAATATTGTTAAAGCATGTTATAGTGAAGATACTAATACAAAAATTTATGAAGATTATCGTCAAACAAAAGATGATTCGAATAAGGTTACATGCTATCGAGACTTATCATAAGTTATCATGTGATAATACGCTAAAAGTTTATCATTCATATTTGGAAAATACGTCTGAATCTAAAAAAACTCTAAGAGAACTTTTGTTGAAATTGTCTAATTGTTCGACCAAGGCCAGAAGCACCAAGTATTGAAGTCAAATAACGTCTATATTACCTCAATTTATCACTGTTTATTTTAAAACTGTGTTATATTTAATAAATATATTATTTTTGTATAATATTCTTGAAAACATAGTGCGTGTTATAGATTTATTCTTTTGGATGAAAATGAATGACGTCTCTTGCAATTTTATCGAATCCCTTCGTTCATAGGTCGGTTATAATGATTACATTTTGAATGTTAACTTCACATTTAAGTCGGATACCAAATTTGTTGAAACCTACTCGAGTATGCTTAAAGGTATCAGTCGTACAGCTGATGCCTCCGCCAATAAATTAGTTAGCAAATACCTGTAAGTATCCTTAACATTTAAAACAATCATTTTGCAATGAATACACTATCAAAGGAATCTTTCTAGGCAATAAAAACATAGATTTTTAAGGTTAATTTTTGATGCTGTTCATGAGTCTGATATCAACTTTGGTAACTGAACTTTTCTTAGGTGGGAGTGGGAAATCCATCAAGAACTTTCGTCTGAACAGATTCGGATCCGTCTAGTTTGTAGGACTCGTCAGGTTACCTGTCTGAAAACGTTTCGAATACTACCAAACAAGATTTAACAGATAAAATTCTGCATGTGAATCATAGCAGAAAACCTAAACTGTTTAGCGTTACTTTCATGAAAGTTTTCATAGCTCTGTTAAAACTTGTTCGGTAGTATTCGAAACGTTTTCAGATAGGTAACTTGACGAGTGCTACAAACCAGACGCATCAGGATCTGTTCAGACGAAAGTTCTTGATGGATTTCCCACTCCCACCTAAGAAAAGCTCGGTCACCAAAGTTGATATCAGACTCATGAACAGTATCAAAAATTAACCTTAAAAAAATCTATGTTTTTATTATCTGAAAAGATTCCCCCTACTAGTTTTAGAATACTGTCCCGTAACATATTGATAATCAAAAAAGTTTTATATTTCCAGTCATCAACTTCAGTCGTGTTTGAAAAACATAAGATATAAAAGATTTCAAAAGAACACAAAAAAATGTTGCATATTAAAAAACAGTGAAAACAATTGTAAAAAAACACACAACAGTGAAAATTTGAAAAGAAAAACGGATGGATGCAGCATATTATGGTTTTGCTCCTTGAGCATATATCGCAAATGTTGAAAAAAAAGAAATTCGATTGTATAACATACGGATCGAATTAGTGTTAATAATACTGAAATAAATTAACTCACACAATTTCTATCTACAATTCATATCACACACACTCAGATAGGGACAAAAGAAAAATTGAAAAATTGAAGTCACCATTTGATATACGATAATAATACAATTGAAATAAAATATTTGACATTGTAAATGGAATTTGAGCAAACAAAAAATATCGGACAAAAGAAAATTGAGAATTAAACAAAAACAAATGGCACAGCACCGGCAGTACATCTTTTTTCTTTCTGGCAGACAAAAAAAATACACGGAACTGACTATAAATATCAGATTCGCTAATTAAATTTGACAAAATTATTCTTGATTTATTATAGTTGTTGAAGATGGACTGGTAACATCATTTCCGTTAACATTGTCATTTATTGCTGGTGTTTCATGTTCAAGAGAATTATTATAATCTAACCAATCATAATTTATCTTTTTATCACACGAATCAAGAAAATCAATCTCTAAATCCTAAAATTCGATGATAGTTGAAAAATATAAAAAACTAAACTTCAAAATTGCCTTATTACGTACCACAACAATATTTGAATGTTCACGATGTAATACTTCTAGAATACATTTGTCCACTTTTCCATCAGTATTTATTTGTAAACATAACATTCGTTCAGCAACTAAATTACAAACAAAATTAAATTCAAATGCAATGCATGTTATCATCTATTTTAGATTTTTATTATTTACTTAATGCATCAACTGCGCGTAATTTTGATAATATAAGTAATAATTTTGCAAAATACATTGAATCACCCTGTCGATTACGAGCAATAAATAAACGTTCCATTTCACAATATTTTGTTTGTAATTCTTCAATTTTTGTTCGACATTCAACAATTGGACGATCTGAAACCACAAAAAAAATAAATTAATAAACAATATTATAAATTTATTATATTAGAAAATCGTATTCTTACCATAACTAAAAAAGACAATACAACATAACAATGAAAATTCTTCAATTGTTAATTCTAATTTACTGAATATTCGACAAAATTGAAGAAATGTATGCCCATAACAACCGAATCCTTGTTGTCTCAATGTTTCTTCGTCAACACAGGCACCATTTGATAAATATAATTTATCTTCTTCTGGTTCATATCGATATGCTAATCGAAGTAGAGCTATTTCATGTACACCATATTTTAATAGTTTTGCACGATCACGGATAGATAATTCATTATTGCCAGGCATTTTCATACAAAATTGAATACATTTCATTATACCCGCTTGACTAAATTCATCGCCTTTTTGCCATCGTCGATCCGATGTCATCTATATTTCAAATTATAAATAAAATATATTCATTTTATTCTCTCGACTTCTAATGATAACTTACAATATCTTCTGTACTTGGTTTAAATGTATTTTTATGTAATTTAACACATATTTTTATTAACTGATCTTCTTCTGGTGTCAAATCACCTTCAATTAATGGATTTTGTGATACACAATCAATACTAATTTCATCAATTGATCGTTTATTAATAAAACGTTTTTTTGTTCGATCAATTGGACGAGTTACTCCTAATAAAAATTTATTTTAAATAAAATATCATTTTAAAAAGGAAATAAGCACATTATTTACCTTTTTCGATTTCGAGCTGTTTTTTCGCTTGATTTGATAATCGAAGTTCTATGATATAAACAAAACAATATTTAAATTCATTTAAGAGGAGATTTCAAAATCTTACCTTCTTTCGACATACCAACAGCAAAACATTTTTGAAATCTCTACACAAAGACATAAAATGTTCAGTTGACTATTTTATAAATAAAATTGATATACTTACACAATACTGGCATCGATTTCTTGTCAGTTTATTTATTTCACAATTTTGATCTTTGTGACATTGATATTGCATATTTTTCTGAACACTTCGACGAAAAAATCCCTAAAATATTTTTTTGACAAAAAATTATAATATGAAACTTCTCTAAAATATCTTGATACTTACTTTACAGCCTTCACAAGAAGACACTCCATAATGATACCCCGATGATTTGTCTCCACAAACAACGCATGGTTTATAGACACGAGGCGGTGGAGGCGGCGAGGGACTCGCTTGAGTTGTTTGTGGTGCTTTATTTAAAGATTGAAGACTAAGTTGTTGAATACTGTAAATTGGTTGATTGGGCAAATCTTAAAATGAAGAAGAAATTGATTAATATCTGTTAATTAATGTTAATATTAACTTAATATTACTAGAGCCATTGAAATTAAATGTTTGATTGAATGGTGTTGTGAAAAAATGATTTTCGCCTGAATAAAATTCATCTGTAGAAGTAGACATCATCATTGTTGCGGAATTATTTCGTCGTTTGTTATCACCATTTTTATTCGATATGTGAAAATTGCCATTCGTCGAGTCTGTTATAGAATAGCTTGGAGTAGTTTCAACAAAAAAATCATGATAATCAAATGAACTATTTAGAAAATCATTGTCTTCTTCCATTCGAATACAAACTACCAAATACTAGACGATAATCGAAATTAATTCATTTTATTTATTCGACAACTTACATCTATAATTGACAGAAAAACAATGACTACATTCACAAAATTAAAGCGTATCTAGAGCCATAGTTGAATTTTCGTCAATACACATTACTATTGAAACAGAATTTTAACATGTTCATATATTATCGTTCTTTCTAAATGCTACTACATAAACAACTGTTTTTCAAAAATTTCTTTCGTTCAAAACATTACTATTAATCACACACCGTCTCTTATATAGTTGTTATTGTTATGACATATGATTAAGAGTTAATATTTGTATTGAACTCACCAAAAGTGAAGAAGTTGATATCATTAAAATTCAATAAAAATTCCATTCTATCACATTTACTGAACTTTTAGTAAATGTTGTCAAAGCTTTTCTTATGCAATGGTTCTTTGAGAAAAACGTTTATCAGCTGATTCTTAACAATTCTTCTTAACAGTATTCTTGATGTCAAAAGATACCAAAAACCTTATTTGAGTAGTCCGTCTTCAGCCAAACATTTTTCATAATGAGTACTGACATAAATCATGTAGCTTTGAGTTAGTCATAGACAAATATAGGTGAAAGAAAACGTCCTTAATTCTTAGCAAACTGATGTAAGAGACTGTCACCTACTAAGTTAATTAAAATGGACTTTTCAAATAGGCTTTTTAGTATCTTTCGACATCAAGAATACTGCTTGTTAAGATCTAGCTGATAAACATTGTCCTCAAAGAACCATTTGATAAGAAAAGTTTTGACAACATTTACTGAAGTCCAGTGATTATGATGAGATTTTTATTGAATTTTAACGATATCAACTTCCCACCATTGGTGATTCTTAAAACTAATACCTCTTAAAGACACAAATACACAGTATGTGTGCAAATTGATCAATTAATCATTCAACTGATAGATTACATCACGATCATTTAATGACTACCACCTATTCTATTTTCCGTCACTGTTCATATAGTCAAAATAATATATTTTCTAACACGAGAGAAAATTGTATTCACACATCGTCTACATAAGACGAAAAAACTATAGTATTCCGCCTCGAATAACAACACATTCACACATCTATTATACGTGCTATAAAGAACAAGACACCGTCATATATTTCTACTTGATTAAAAATGGAAAACATGGTCATTAATCTCTCCAAAAATCTGAAAGACTGAATAAAATCTATTAAAAAACAAATGTTCAATCACGTAACAGGAATTTGAAACATTAAATTATTCTCTACTTTACATGTTACATTTTATTTCTGAACTGAAGCAATTAATGAGTGATGAACGCTGACTTCTCTTCTATGACTAAGACTCGATTGGTCTAATAAGTTTGTTTATTATAAAAACGGCTATTTTGTTCAGGCTTCAATTAAAAATTCAATTGAATCAAGACCTTTGGTTAAAATGAATATACATGCTGGAAGCTATATGAATATATTTTTTTGTTTTTGAATAGAATTTCATCGATGAATGAATGGCTGAGTACACATTATGAAATCTTTTATGATCATATCTTCAAGAGCAAAAGGAGATAAAAAGTAATTAAATAGTCTATACATGCATATATTTTAATTCTTATAAAAATATAAGACGAAGTTTCTCTCTCTCTCTCTTTCATATGTTTGAAAATGTATTAATGATTACTTTCAAGATTGTATAAACCAGATGTACAGAAAAAGAGAAGAGAATGAGATATTTCCGTCTATACATACATATTCATATTTTCTGTATCCTATGGCTAACGATATAAATTATATTGTAGATAGATATACATTTGTTTTTTTTTTAACGGAACTTAACTTCACACAATAAGGTGATTGAAACTTTATCTATACGCCTCTAATGATCAAATGGCTGTTAAGTAATGAACAGAGAAAAGAAACTGAAAGTTTATTAAGCATCGAGTTTGAACAAATAGACTAGAAAGAAACGAAAACACATAGACAATACTCAAGGACTTGATGCACATGTATAATTATTTTTTGTCTAGCACAAAGGGTCAACAAGCAAAAAGCTCTCATATCAAACGCTAGGATCTCGTCAGGGAAAAATTGAAAGTATTTAAAATCGAAAACAAACCATTACGGACACAAAAGTAGATGCTGTATTTTTACGAAATGAGGAAAAAAATCAATAAAGGCGAAAATTTAATATAGTTTTCTCACTTCTTCATCAGTTAAATTGTAAACAAATTCTTTAATCAAGGTGTAGATGAGCTTTATCATAAGTATATTATAAGATTTGGACTATTCCATTGAATATATAATAAAATCGATATAGAAAATAGTTTAATCGACGAAATGCATCATCTAGTAGAGATAGACTGACATTAGTCACACTTCAGGCGTCTTTACTACAAAGCCATTATTCAAATAACTCACTTACCTAAACTCACAGTCTAATGTTCATATCCCAGACTAACAGAGTTTAGTCTCTTCTGTTTTTTTCAGCAAAAAAAATTTTAAATCATAAGGACTAAAAAAAATGATATACTTGGGCAACTATACTCTGATGAAATGAGTAAATAAGAAGAGAACGAAACAAACTTATTTGTCCACTATTTTTTACTGTCCAGCTATGATGGTCAGATACAGAGAGGAGAATTGCATTCTATTCTTTCGACGACCGACACAATAGAAAGAGAAAGAAAATAACTAACTCTTCAATGTTCAACTTCGCCGTAAGAAGAGTACAACAAATTCTCTTTTTGTTTAGAATACGGAAATAATTATATGCACACATACAGTGAGATTTTCGTGATGTCTTTAGTATATTTCATATTTTCCGGTTTGTGCATATATGTACAAATCATGAAAATATTGACCTAAAATCCTTAGAATCGCCTGATAAATGTGGTAAAAACATCGATAAATGTTCCTCATTTCCGTTGAAAAACAATTTTGTCAGATTATCCTCGGTTGCATGATCCACAATGTTTTCTGTTTACATAATAAGAAATTGGTATTTGGCATGGTCATGTATCTCTACTACCGGAGTAAAATTCGGCAACTTAATTTTAACATCCTTTTTATAGTTTTTCAACGAAATATCGACGAACTCTGCGCAACATGTGAAATTACAGAGAAAATTTTTCTGATTTAGATGAGATGTCTTCGGACTCTATATGGTCTGTCGTTTAAATACCCCAAACGAAATACTAAATGCCATTTATTTTTAAACAAAATTAAAAATGATCGGTGTTTTATAGGTGCTCCAAGGTTTTCGGAAGAAAGGATTTTCAAAGCACATGCCATTTTTTTTAAAGATTCGAAAAATGTGTCCAATTTTGGAGTAAAAATCTACAACACAAAAGGACGAAACATCCCTAGTATTATTCAAAAGAAAAAAAGCATACAAACTCAGACATGTCATTTACTTCAGAAAACTTTAATCTACAAATCTAAATAGTGCCGGTCGATATTTCGTTGAAATACTATAGACAACTAAATGTCAAAATTTTATTGCGGAATTCCACTCCGTTGACAAAATTACGTGCCCGTGTGTTATTAGTTATCTAGTGGATAATAATGTCCCTAAGTTGCTGTTTTTTATAGTTCATAGTTTGAATAGAATTCAACTGTTCATTCATCTATTGTATCCTGTTGATGTTGTGATGATAAACAGTTTCGGCTCTTAGCCAACTCTTTTACATGTGTTGCTTGAACTCTGAGTGACCTCTCGTTTTGTACAATACATCTTTTTTTCATTTCTTTTTTTTTTTCTTTGTTATAAATACAAAGAAATTTTTTTGAGAAAATTGGGACGATGCACGTATAACTAGACTTTTATGTGAGATTAAAGAATATTATATTTATATAGTAAGAAAAAACCTGAATCCCTCTATATCAACTGAATATAACAATGAGAAGAACGACGAAAAATTAGATCGTGACGAACTATCATGGATGATCGAAAAAATACAATTATGAGAGAAATGCACTAGTCGTTTCTTTTACTGTCTTTTAAAAGATGAAAAATTCTCATCTGCGTGCTACACAAGCAATTCATCAGAATTACATGAGACAAAATGTTGATTTTTCAACTAAATCAAATCATTAAGTAGTTATTTTCGTGCGAAATTTTATCACGCAATGAAATTTATTTCAATAATGAAAAGATTATTAACCTTTTAATGTCAACTGCATTAACCTAATGATCGTTAGTGTTCAGCAGCTTCCATATTACTGTTTGAAATACCATCAAATTGTCGATTCAATTTTTATTTACCGTATTCATTCCATGTTGAAGTTGATGATTAGTATGTTTTAATTTTTCTGAACGACCATATTGTTGTTCAAGATAGTCACCAATAGTTTTATAAACAGTTGCTTTTTCACGTTCGTCTATACATTGAAATACAGCATTCTGTTCAAGATCATCGATCGATGCATATTTTAAAACATTTAGTAATTGTTGTGACAAAATTTCGTCGCGGCCAAAATATTCATGAAACCAGGAACATAATGTGCCTGGTAGAAAAATGTTTAATAATTAACATTGGACAAAATTATCGTATTTTTACGTACTAATCTCAGTTGATATATGTTGTCGTGTTCCATTTTTGTACAAAATATGTCTCGGAACAAATTCTTTGGTATTATCAAACGTGATCATTTCCAAATCTTTTAAATAATTTCTAACATATTTTTTGCATTCACTACGTAAGGTCCCAATAAGAAATCTTTCAGATAGATGGATTAAACCCGTTATATTGTAAGCTACAATATTAAAGAAAATACATGTGTTATTGTTTTAATGTTGCTCAAATATTTAGATTTCCATTGATGTGCCCATTGACACATTCGTACCAGCAATTTTAACGGTGAATTGTGGATAGATAAATTTGAGTAAATCGATAACATCCATTGATGTCACAATTGGCTGTTCATCATCTTCATCGATGACAAATACGCCATCGGGTTCAATAGTTAAAAATGCTTTGATAATGGGTGATGCTTCTGATAAAATAGCTTTATTAGCAAATAATAGTAAATCTAAACACGACTAATTTAAGAAATTGCTCATAGGAAAACTTTTATTAACGTACCATTTTCATTTTTAAATGCTATTTTAACATCAGAAAATTCGTTAGCTGCCAAAAAATAGTTACTACTTTCTTCTAATTCTGAACAAATGTCTCCGTTGCCTAATGTTAATTTATTTGATATTTTATCGACATTGTTTGTCGTATCCATTCTTGAAGATATTGCAGGCTCGATAAAAAATTCAAGATAATTTTGGTTGATTTTCAAACGTTATTAATGTGAGAAACAGAGAATTTTGAGAAATTAGATAAAATTAAGAAAGCAGAAATGATAATTATACATATTTCTCGTATGAATAATTCAACAGCGTTTCTACGGTACGGAGATTAGATTCATTGAAAAATGTGGCGCGTCGAAAATATGCAAAATATTCACATAAATGCGTTATATGGCATGGAAATCTACGCTCAAAGGCCGACGATTCTTGCTGTACGATTAATGCTTGTTCATGGCTAGTGAAAGAGAATCAGCATTAAATATTAAATTTCTTTGAATACTGTAGATGATTCACGGAATAAATCCATTGTATTTGGTCTTTTTTCAATTACAAAAAATATCAACCAACGGTTTTTCAATTAGGATGTTACCGATGCTTATATCATCGTTTAACACAAATGAACAGAAACGAACTCTGGAATATGCTTCTTTGAAACTGTTTTTGCAAATAAAATAAGGAGTAAACAAAATAAAAAAAATTTTCGCTCGTTCAAATACGTGTAGAAACACATAACATGTATAAAAAAGAACGGCAGAGCAAAATATTGCAGCTTGTATAACAACAAAATGGAAAATTACGCAGCCTAATTCAATCTAAGCAGGGCGAGACGAGGTCGAGTCCGAACTGGAAAAGTTTTCGGTGGACTTGGAATTGGACTGGGTCTGGAGATTTTTTTGAAAAACTCAGATTCTAATTTGAGTTTTTGTGCTTTAAGTCCAATCGATTGAAGTTCTACATAAATCAAAATTTCAGTTTTAAATATTAGCATGGGATATACAATGGAAGTATAGTTCTGTAACTTTTTCTGTTGTTGTACGGCATAGGAGAAAAAAAATACAAATAACAACAGACAAAAAAGTTTGAAAAAATTATTGGGCTCGCTTTACTCACTGTTACTTTGAGCACGAGTAAAAAACTAGAAGATTTACATATTTAGCCTAATGTAAGATGAGGAGCCAATTTAAAATTGAGCATTCTCTTAGAAAATAAAGAAAACAATTAAATTGAATTAAAGCATGTTGAATGCATCCGTTCAGAAAACCATACACTTTGGAATGTTGTATAAATCAAAAATATGTTTCGTAATCATTAAAAAAAACACGATTAATTAATACACTGGAGAGAATCTTTGCAAATCAAACATAGTCATCCTGACAATAATACTGAATCATAGTTAATCACTTTTGTTTCATATACTACTAAGATTTTGATAAAATGTAGAATCCTACAAAATAAAATAAAAATTATTTCTTCTTTGTAAGATTATTTGTTTTTCTAACGTACCTGAACTACACCAAACTGTTGATTTATATCTTCTCCCTCACTATCACTGCTATCTGGAGGTCGAGGTCGAGAATCTAAAGATAAAACGATTATAAAAACAACATTTGTTCAAAACAGAGTACTGTACTGTATGTTTTGATTCTAACAACTTTGAACTATATGTCAGCGCATCTTGCACAACAATTTGTCAGCTACTACTGCACGCCATACTACGGTTCACTAGTTGCTTAGAAACAGTTAAATTTCCATCAGTCGTTACATTTGATTGCCTTAATCATGTCGCGAACCTGTCTGAAAAATGAAAAAATCTGCCACCTAATCGCTTCGAAACTTACCACCGATCTCACTTTTTAATTTTCCAAAACATAAATCACACACTCGCACTGGTCTAGAATCAACACATGGCAATAAGAAACGTTTTTTTGAGCAATTCTAGAAACAATGATGTTTTTCGTTAAACAGATATAACCCGGAAAAAATCCAAACTTACGTCACACACAACTTTCCCGCCTAAAGGAGAAAATCGAAGAAAGTCATTCGAATAGGAAATTTTTATATTATTTCCAATAATACTAACATTGTCGACAATGATGTCGTCTTTCATAGGTAGTGAATTTGATTGTTTGACAACACATACACATATTCGCTTTTTCATCTGGAACCCAATGGGGTGCTAAAGGACTACTGTTAGATGTATTTCCTCCTCAAGATAAAAGAAAATAATCGTACAATAACATACTTCTTCTACAGTCCTTACTTTCTTTACTGGATGCATATTTGATGCATCTGTCTAAATGAACGATCCACTCTAGTAAAAGAGAAGAATCAAACAACATTACGCGATTGATTGATGTAATGGAAGAATTTATTCATACCCTGTCTTTCGCGATCCGAGTTTGCTCGTACAATAAATGACTTTTTTGGACTGCTAATTAACCAGGAATATGGATTTTCTAGAAAAAAAAGCAAAGAAACGTGTTTGTCGTTGAATCAAATGACTGGAAAATAAATTTCACATCCTCAAATGATGAGAATTCAGTTTCATGTTGTGTGTAAATCGTTTACCTGCTGTATCTAGTGGAGGTCCCACTTGAATTTCACCGAGTGGAATTATTTTTTGTTGAGAATACTAGAAGATATTAAGAAAAAAAGATATCAGAATTAAAATAAAAGATCAATTAGTAATTAGTTCACTAACTTTGCGTCCATTAATAACTACATGTCCATAAACAAGAATATCATTGAAAAGGAAAAATGCTCGTTGTTTTGGTTTTTTACGGCATATCTTCATCAAAACACCTTCACCAACTAGAGCACGTCCTTCCTTCTCGAGAGGCTGAAAAAAGAAAGGAGAAAAACATGAAGATGCACGTAATAATCCCAATGTAATTTACTTACTTGGCTATTCACAAATTTATCTTGAACATCGCGTATACGTCTAGAATTTTCAGCTGACCGACCTATTTTAAAGGAGAAATAATGAAGATTAATGAAGAACAAAAGTAAAAGGTTTTGTACTTACTTAATTGAGCAAGTCCATCTTCCTTCGATGTAGATCTGACACTTGAAAAATTGTTCATCTAAAATACAGAGACAACTATTTCACTTCTTTTTGTTTATCTAAGTGAAATAATTTTTAATGATTATTTACTTTGTCAGTATATGTTACCGATTGTTTTAGCTAATTTTGCCAAGTTTTGAAAGAGAAATGATTTTCGGATAAACTGGAAAAGCTCTGCAAGAACATCTTACATATAGTTAATGACACTGAAGTCTATCGAACTTAGGAACTTAGTAGAATTCTTAATAAGATTTACTTTGAAAATAAAAAGAATAGACTAAAGCTAGTTCTCTATGTTGATATACTGTTCCTCCTTTTAGCTTCACGTATTTTAGAATTCATGCTGTAGCATCTATCGCCATGTGGAACGTGAGTTTTCCCCTCACCACCAAACGTTATGAAAATAGAAAACATTCTTTTGTGTTTGTAAATAATTCTTACTTTTTAAAATGCAAAGAATATGAAAAGCATATTTTTATGCTTTTAAATCATATATTTTCCGTTTTTCGATTTTTCAAGTTCGAAGTTCAAATTTAACAGCTTGAATCGGTGTTTTTGATGAAAATTTGAAATAAAGCATAAGTAAATAAGTACACATTATTATCAAAGCTAAAATATAGAAATTCTGAAAATTTCTCGTAGATAACGTTTAAGAAAAAATCTTCATTCACGGTTTAGTTTACTAAAAATATGTAAAAAAATAAAAACACAAAACAAGCCAGAGATTCTATCAATATCATAGGAAAGTGAAACTGACTGTTTGAGTGTTTACACATCTATTGGATATGACATAAGTGGAAAAAAACATGAAATTTGACGGAAGTATTGATCGTTTTCCTTTGGCAGCATTCATGCGAACTTGTCTGGCTGGTAAATAATCAACCGGTGATTACTCTGGAAGATAAATATCGTGTACAATGTTTATTATGAATACGTTTTGTATGCAACTTAGATTGAAGGCTGTTTCAACCTTTTATAGGAGTTCGTTTAAAACCAGAAAAAAACATTCATAAAGATTCAACTAATCTCTAATAATAAAACCACAAATCGATTGATTTATACTATGTCGAGAAAACGAATCTGTGAGTGTAAACTTCACTTCACTCTAGAAAAAATGACTCAATTTATTTAACTTGATCCAGTTGGAGATGTAACTAGAAAAGATCGTCAAAACTGGATCCTTCTTACTTGGGTCGTAATACTGGGAACACTGTCAGAGCGCCCTAGAAGAAGTAGAGCGGTACAATTAGCATGACCTCAGATTAATATCAGCAACTTATGCCTAAACTACTTTGATCTAAGTACACACTTCAATGTAATTTATCATATCATATCGTTAGAAGCACTCGTCCGGATCACACCTGTTTTTTCGAGGTAATCTGCGGATCGAAGCATTGGTTTGATACTGACTTACAACAACAAAGATAGATATCGCAAGCTTAAAGTTAGTTCTATCTAACAAATATATATTCAACTTTGTTTCTCTATTTAAAAGTAACGAGCATTATGACTAGAAGCGGAACCCTAGTGAAATTCCTTGAATTAAGAACTCGAATTGGAGTTTTTTAGTAAGATCTCGACTCAAGTTCTTAAAAGAAAATGTAAGAAATTAAAAGAAAGAGCCTATTATTATATGTTCATTATGTTCATATTGACCGTCATACATGAGAACAATATGTAAAGTAAATGTGCACCGAAGATCTTGAACTTTACATTTATAAGATTTTGGATAAGTCTTGGGCTCCTTGGTATTTTTAAAATCTTGTGACGTTTCTTAATATAACCACTAGTATGCGAAGTGCACCCCCCGCCAACAAAAAATTAAAAACCCTCGATTTTTCACAGCAGAATTTTTTTTTCTTGCGTTCTCCGAAAAAAAAATTCTTGTCTCAATAGAGCCCAATTTTCACCAGTTCTTCAGTCATTTCAAGAGTGCATTTTTCCAATTTTTTATTGCGTATAAAAGATATTAAACATCTATAAAGTCAAGACTTTACATAATTTTCTACGAAAGCAAACAAAAGAAAAATATAAAGTTCCCGCTATTTGAATCTGGAAAAAGTGCATCTTGCTTTTTCGCCTAAATGTACAATTTACTCTTGGAAGAAAATGATTGGTATGGATTTGATTGTGCCAGATGCAATTTTGGCAGCTATATCGTTCGATTATCCATTTAAGCCCACGTGAAAAAAGATCGTTTTTCTATTCTATTCTATTCTGATCGGATGCGAGATGTGATTCACTATGTTTTCGATTGCGATAAACTTGCGCCCGCAATGTGGTCGCACAATACGAACGAATTGTGCATAATTCGGTTCGCGACAGCGCAGATGCGATGTTGCGGCGCAATTTTCACTTGCGTTACGTCACACTGCGCCGCAACTATTAAAAAGTCGACGATATGGGTCGTGCTTGAAATGTGCAATGTGAACAGCCCCAGTTATATTTCGTGGTATATCTCTTATTTTACAGCAGAAAAGGTGTCGAATGACACACAAAACAAATATCTACGGTTCCTCGAAACTTTAAGCCTAGGGGCCGAGCTCGGATCAGAGAAAATTCTCCAAAGTTTTTGAAAAATCAGAGAAAATTTGCTGCGGTTTTTGGAAAACCGGGGGGGCATCTTCCACCCCTTCCTCGATCGCGCCGACTCCATGCAAAGTTTGGTTGCATTGGCTCTTACTGGGACCAAATGCATAAAGAACAAACAAACAAACTTTCTTCTTTATATATATAGATAATAATAGATAATGATCTATACGTCATCCAGCAACGGCCTTAGCACCGACTGAAGTCGGAGCCTTTCCGATGAGGCAAGTTTAGACATTGCCCAAATACCAGCTGTTCACTGCTCTGGTATGGAGAAGTACATCAGCTTCGAGGAGGATAGCAGTTTCCCAAGCAGCTGAGAGTCCAGAGCAAAGATAAATTTGAGTTGACCAGTAACGTAAGAGACAAGCGGCTTCCAGAGCAGCACACCGGACACGCATAGAAGATGAAGCGTTTCGATACAACCCGGTCAACAGCTACGACAACTATCCTCAGTTTGATATCGGACGAATGAACAACGTTTGCTCATACTGTGGTGTTCTCCCGTGGACTGAAGAAGTGCCAGGCATGTGCTGCTTCGGTGGTAAGGTGAGCTTACCATCAGTCCAGCCTCCTCCAGAACCACTAGAATCATTGATGTCAGGATCCAGGTGAAAGCGTTTTCTGGAAAACATCAGAAGGTACTACTCCTGCTTTCAGATGACCTCTTTTGGCGCGTCAAATGAAGTATGCGAGCCAGATTTCATGCCCACCTTCAAGGTTCAGCGTCAACTCTATTATCGTGTGGGATTCCTGTTGCCACTTTCGAATGAGAAGCATCAATTCCTTCAAATTTATTTCACGGGCGACGAATAACAAGAAGCAAAGCAGCTATTCATAGCAGTTCTATATTCGATTTACAAATACTTATTTCCAACTGCTCTACCAACAAATTTCATAAGCAAAGCAGCGTTGTAGTTCCCGGGCAACGCCGAGTACTTCAGCTAGTACCTTATAAACAATGAAAAAACAGAAAAAAATATGTATTTCCTAAGATAGATTCGAATGTAGTACCTAGAAAAAAATCGACAATTAGGCGCGATTAAGCGCACGATTAATCCTGGGATTTTTCACGATTAATTGCCGATTTTTAGTACATGGGATATCTCAAAAAAACTTGAAAAAAGTAAGATTTTTTTGCTAAGTGAGTTTCTCGAAAGCATCTTAACTTAAGGGACTTCTCGATCACCCTCAAATTTTCACTTACTTTTTTAAGTGAAAAATTATTTACAATTCTATATTTTACGTTTTTTCGTAGCCAAACTCACAATAATTAAATAGAAAATAATTTTAGAAGTATTTTGTTCAAAAAATTTCATAAAAATATTCTTATAATAAAATTTGTTAAAATATGAATGATTTTTACTGCATGACTCCTGTTTAACTTAAGTTCTTATGACAAACGCAAGGGGAAACTTAAGTGTCCCTTAAGCACTACTTAATGTTTCTCTTAAAAATTCACTCAAGTGGAATACTGAAGTGTTTTTCAGAAACAGACTCCGGAAGCGATGAACCATTCAAAAATACTTTTGACAACGTAATTCGTACCTGTGTATAAGTGTTTTACAGCGCAGCTCTCACAACTGCAGAAGATATTTCTGCCAAATCTTAAATTGTGTTTTTTATCGTCATTCTGTGGCTGTGTACACTATTAAAAGCATGTTAATCTGCACAAGAAATCTTTAACTAACACTCATCACAACTCTTAATTTGTCCCAAATTAATGATCAAGTAATGACGAGATCATTAAAACAAGTCTTATTCGTTGGGCAGATGAACTTAGCAATCTACGAAATAATGTATCGGGAAATACGACATTTTGTGCTCAGTCTGATACATTAATTGCATTATAACACTTTTTTGCGACACACCTCCTAAGAATGAATCCCAAATGTACACGGAATGTAGGAGGACATTACTCCGCTAATCGTCTTAAGTGAGATTTAAAAGTCTCTTTCAGTAAACTAAAGTAATAACATGTGAAATGATCATTCTAGAAATTTTTTAATTTTTTATGAAAATAGTCAAAATTAAAAAAATTTTCCAGCACCACCTGGAAATCCAATTCGTAAAAGCCTTCATATGTCAAAAGATGCAGTAAAGCCTGCTCTACAAAATGCTGAAAACTGCAGGTCTCTATCTCTCTTCATTCTGGAGTTATTCAAACGATAGTCAGCGACATTATATACTGAAATGGATAGTAGGTTAGCATCATCCGATACTTTGGAGACCCCCATGGATTCATATGCAGTTTTGAGTGCTCTATCCGATGGCGGTTTGGGATTTCAGTAATCAGCTTTTATTTTTTCCAAAACGAAAGTTTTTCAAAAAAAAATCAAAAATAGCCCGTTCCGGATATATTTTATATCTCGATCAAAATACGCGATTTTTGATCGAATTTTTATGCAGTACCCCAAACAATGCATCTAGCCGATCCCCATGGAATCTGAATCAGTTTTGAATCCTCTTTCAAATGGCATTGTCCGTTTTTTATTTGGTTGTTAAGCGGAGGCCAGAAAAATGATTGATTGATTATATAGACCGATCAGGCTATATAAATCATCCCGATCGGGATTTATAGCCCAATCGGGATAATCGTATAGGCCGATCGGGATAAATATCCCGTTTGGAATATAAGTCATGACTCCGCACTGCATGTGATTGGTAATTAGGATAAAACATAAAATATCGATATCGATCTCACCATCCTCAGTTTTGTTATTACAAAATAAATGTTTCTCGAAATTTTTAAACAAATTAGATATTTGTGTTGTCATTACTTTAAAAATTTATAAGAATAATGTAACTAGTTTTGTTTATTCAAGACTAAATATGAAACAATTTTTTATAATTTACACAATTTAAACTAAATTTGAACAGAACATTATACTTGATGTATAAAAATAGATTCATATATCGAAGACAAAACACATGAAGACGTTGAAGCACCATTAAATGAATTATTTGGGACATATAACGGTGATCTGCAAATAAAACTAAACATAATGGATATGAAGACTACTGACAAAAATTCTTACTTCGTTTTCGTTCGTCCATACTAAAATACACGCACACACACACACACACACACACATACACACACACATACACAGTTCTTTTTTCTCTTATAACTCATCTTGCACATTACAGCCATACATTCATGGAATGGATAATTCTCAAATCATATCTCTGAAAGGAATCAATTGTCAATAAAAAAAAGTGCTTTTATAAACAAATAGAAGACTTACATGTAGAACTATAATACTCAATACTGTGCAAACGAATCTTGAACGATTAGTTTACTTTTAAATAATTATGAAATTTTGGAAACATATTTGTACGTAAGGACATTGAAAAAAATTCATTTGCATCTAATTGACCATTACCTGAAAATATTTTCATAATTGTATATTTCATATCCGCAACTGGAAAGAGACTTACCATCGTCATCAAATAAAATAAGCATTTTATCTATCATTGCTCGTCGTTGTCTTTCACGACGAATATTATTAGTGACTTGTTGTATATTTTGTTGAATAATACTCGAATTACCAATATTATTATTGACATTATTCTGACTATAAGCTGTTTGATCGAGTATTTGAGTTAAACCACCATTTGAATACGATGGCACACGAAGACGCTGCTGTTGTTGTTGTGGTTGGATGACATTTGGATATTGTGGTATTTGGTTTAAAACTGGTTGATGTTTGTATACTTTATAAGTGTTTAAATGCGTTTGTTGACTGTTTTGAGGGAGATATTGATTACTTAAATAGGGATAATTATTCGATCGAACATGAGAATTTTCCTGTTGAATAAATACATTTTGTGACGGATTGAAATTGTCTGAAACAAAAAACCGAGTTCAAGACAAATGTATTATGAAGAAAAAAATGATCGAGAGAGTTCTAATTTATGGTATCTTAAAACAAGTTATCTTTCAAGTCGAAAGATGTCAAAATGAAAACAAAACTAAACACTCTACTCCACATACTACATACTAAGATGTAGACATTTATTTGATTATAGCAGAAAAAAAGCGTGTTCGCATTCCAGGATACGTTTAATATCATTTTTCTATTTTATGAATTCAGTACTTACTTTGTTGCTGCTGTTGTGAGATAAAAATTGGTAAAGCATATGAATTTTGAGTCAAATTTGACATTAGAATAAGTAGGATACAAGTAATTGAACGAAACGATGGATATCTGAATTGAGTGTTAATCGTTTTAGAATAATATTGATTTGAATATTGTGTGCTTTCAGTATTTATCAGTTGTACATAATTCATACACTCATTCTGCTCATTTGTTTTAGAAATTACTTTTGAATATCGATCGGGTAAGAATGTATTATCATTATTAACTAATATACATAAATTTGATAGTAAATAAGTAATTGAAGAATATCGTAGTAATATCATATTTAAAAAAAGTGAAAATAATCCTCGATTTAGCCAAGTATTTATTCGATTCATTGTCACTATTATAGATTTATTCAAAAATCGTTGTCGTCGCATTGAATGATATTGATTAATATCAAATAATAAGTTACGGTTATAGCAGTAAGTGATATAAGAGGAAATAATTGATGATTGACATTCTTTACATTCATACATTTTTCGCCGTTAGAGAATGAATATATTATGGCTGAAGAAGAAAAAATGTATAAAAGAATTAGAAAAAAGATCATCAATATAAAATACCCGAAGCTAAATGAATGTTTTCTCACCAAATTTTAAAATATTTAGTGTACAATTGAACTCTTTCATGACATAATTTAAATTTCAGCTGTCACTCAAAGCTGATGATTAATAGATAGGGGGAAAATGTCACGAACAATCGATTAAAAAGAGTATCGTTTATATGTAGATGGCTAAGTTGAAATTTTTGATATGCACAAAAGAAATTTTAAAATATAACTTGTTCGACGAAAACTAAATACTCTTCCATTTACTTTAGAATTATCTCACAAACAAAAATAATGTGCTAATAGTGTATAAACGACAAATGTACTTTTTTAAAGAAAGTTATCTATGAAAATAAAATTAGTCAAAATTGTAGAATTGCGATGAAATTATGTACGCAAGAGGTTAAATGTAAAAATTGGTGGTTTAAATTATCTTAAATGATTCTATCTATCGGTGTTTCTAATCTAAGTTAGATTATAGGGGAAGAAAGCGTCAAATTTTCTCTGCTGAAGAATTAACAACATAGATGGTACTTACATTTATCTATATAGTTTAAACATCTTGTTCGATTATATGAAACGTAATATGATGATTGTGTTTTTAGGCATAACATATACACATAATATCTTCAAAATAGGAAAAATAGATTAAAGTCTAAACGGATGCTCAGCCTATTCACCATCAAAAAAAAAACCAAATGAACCGCTCTTGTTTGTCTACATACTACAGTTCTATTCGATTTAAAATAACAAAAGCAGAATAATTACATATTAGTAACAAACGTTATTATATTACCAGAAGCAATAGATATCGCTATTATTGTTCAAAATTCATCGATATCCACTTTTACTCAACACAATGTATACGAGGATGTATAGACAAATCAACAAAACAACGTTACAAAGTTGTGAGATACAAATTATTAAAAAACACTTCTTTTTATATTAAATTGACGCCTACATCCTATCCTACACACAAATTAGTTTTCACACTTACAAAAAAAAAAATCTAATTTTAAAATAATTTCATTTTGCATGTTTTCACTATAATCATCTTTAGTCGCTGTTATAATCTATTTTACCATGTTTTTTTCATACAGAATGATTTTATCTAAAAGAAATTAGAGTTTTTGCTTCTTTTCTTTTATCCATCGCTTCATTAAGAGATAAAAAAATTGTTACCATATTTTACGCGCCAGTAAATCAAAATAGTAACACCTCCCTCATTTTTAATTTTTTAATTTTAAACTCATAACAATTATATTCATGTCAAATATTTTCGCTTATAAACATTTGCTATTGAACCAACTGTTTACAAGATTTTAAATGACGTATTTGAATTATACTCATCATTTCAATAAGAAGAGTCTTCACAAAATAAAGTAATTTGAAAAAAAGATTTTTTTAAAATATTACTCTGTTTAAAAGTAAATACGTCAATATAAGATAATAGTAAAAATGCAATACATCGACATATTGCGCCACAACGTACGTAGTTTATATGCTACCTTAAACAAGTATCAATTCGTAGATGATTGTTTTTATTTTTTTTACAAGATAAAATATCAATACGTATTTTATTCTTTTTTTATCTACAAAACAGGATTTAAAACATGTGAAATATATGAGACGTTGAATTATATGTACTCTATACTTATATATATTTTTGATAAAAAAGATTGATAAAAAAAGAAAATATCTTTTACCAGAATGATGAAATATTTTTTTAATCTTTAATTTATTCATTTTAGACAAATCTTACTCATATTCGTAACTAAACATTTTCTTCTAGTCTTAACTAAGTGAAATGTCGTGTTCGATGAATAAATCGATCAAATTCTTCCTATCGGCGAGAATTGAAACAATACAAATATAATGACAATTATTATCAACATCATCAATGATTATCTATTTTGTTGATCAAATTTTTTGTTTCATTTTGTATCAAATATTTGATACATTATCTTTACATGTGTATGTGTGCACATGCATACCTATTTCCTTGTACGTACGATACAGCTGAATAAGCGAGGTGTTATTACATCACTATCTTTAGTCAATGACTGAATGATTTTGAAATAATATAATGAAATTTGACGTATAAGACAGGAGAAAAAGAGAGAAAGGAAGAGAGAACACGATAATCATAATCAATTGGATTTATTTTTGGATAATAACAATAGAACATCATCTTATACTGTCTTATTCTTTTGGATAGAGAAAAATAAATCACCTTGATGACACGGGATTATTAATCGAGGTATCTATTCGTTATGTTACGTCTTAATCGGTCAACGATATTTAAATAATAATAATCGTAATAGAAAAAAAAAAAAGAAGAGCATGTAATCCTTTGTTTTTTAAGTTCAATCGTTTATATTGTTGTCTAACGATTCAATTATTTCATTTCATACACTCATACCCATTTTCAATGTTATTCTTTGATGTCGGTTGATCTTACAAATAAATTAGAGACGAATCAGGAGGACACTATCTCTTTAATTCTCTCTCTTTCTCTTTAATAGTGACCGTGAACACATCAGCATGCTCTCATCACGTAACACTTATCCAATAATCGATCTCAAATTTTTCCTAGTTTTTTTATCAAATTTCTGACACTACATATCATTCAAGACATTATCAATCAAGAATAATCTTGAAGTGATAAAGTAGATAGTGTTAATTCAATGCAGATATTTAGAACAATTTACGTTCAATTTTCGGATTCATACGTGTAAAGTTTTGAACATTTTAATCAAAGCCAGTTTGTTTTTACGACAATCAACGGTTTGAAAATAGGATAGTTGATAGACTTGTTAGAGATGAAACATTTTCAAATACATTACGTAAAAAACTGCAATAGAATCGTTCATTTTTTGATTTTTGATAATTCAGGTTTTCGATGGATCTTTATTAAAAGATTTTAATAGACAATTGTTTTTAACAAAATATATATACACTCGTACGTAGAAGACTTAATTATTTCATGGCATCTACAAACACAGTTCACTGGAATCTTTTTGAAAAAGATCTGAAAACTTGATCTATCAAAAATACAAAAATAGATGATTTTGTTGCAGTTTATTACATGATGTACTTGAAAATGTTTCATCTCTAACAATTCTACGAACTATTTTCAAACCGCTTGATTCGGAAAAAAATATCTTTTTGCGCCTGAAAAAAAGAACTGAGCCCGGTTTTAATTAGATTAAGAATATTATTTTTAATAGATGTCCAGTTTGTTTAAGAGAAAGACCTTAGCTTTTTACTATTATCTATTTACTGAGATAGTAGAAGAATTACATTTATTTGAATTTATGAAAAAGATCCTTGAACAATATTTATTCTTGTCGTCTGTCAAAACTATATAGTATTCTATGTATTTTGTACATAAACGTATAAAATGCATGTCGCAAGCGATATCTGTCAGAATGAGTCAGCCACTTTGAAATCTAGTTTTAATATTAAATCGTCGCATAAACAAACCGAGCACAAAAACAATGTTCGCCCCTTGATTCGTAAATCAACTTCATTCTGGTATATAACTGCGTTTCAACTTTTTTTTGGCTACCATTTACAAAAGAATATTAATTTATCGTCGTTTCTTTCTTTACACCTCGTTTCTATCCACGTGATTAAAAATATTTACAAGCAAAGCTTCTTAATGTTTAAATCCAATTGATTGCATGCATTATACATATTCGCTTCATTTAATTAAAAAACCTGATGATATTATCCATTGCCTAGCGGATGAAATAATTTAACCATCATAAAAAGTACAATGTCGTTGTATTTTCATCTCACCTTCTATTATTATTTCTACTGTCGTTATAGGGCATAGTCCAAAAAGTTTGCATGTGCTGGAATGAAGAAAAAAATCTATACTTAGTGATCCTTTGTAACTCACATACTGAAATCATAGGGACAGAAGTTATTGTAGCTGTACATCAAAAGGGTAACGGTCTTGTCGTTGAGTGTAGATTCGTGGAATAGACTATTCTCTGTAGCATAAGACTCTGCGCAATTTCGTCTTAGAAAGCTACAGGTATTATCCTACAAAATCTTAAAAATGTACCAATAAATATACAACTTATTTTCCCATTAGTAGGTTTATCACTCAACAGGGTGAATTATTAACATTAGCTAGAAAAAAATTTTTTTCTGAAAGCGCAAAGAAAAATGTGAAAATTAGTTAAGACTATTTTTGAGATTCACTTGCATTATCGAGTACATTCTACATCTCTGGTAGCAATAACTCAGTGCTTTTTGTTGTTTAACTTAAAATATATGTAGTTTATGCAAAGAGTAGCTTTGCAAGTATATGCAAAGAGAGAAAAGTCGAGACTTACCACGATAAATTTTTAAATTTATTTATCTAGTTCAGTTTAAAAAGACACTCGGTCTTTGTAATAATCACCAAAAACGAGAAAATAGTAATCTTAAACATAGCCTCATTTTTCACTATTTATAACTCTTAAATGACTCAACATTGCAAGCTAAATTATTTATCATATCCCATAAGTGGCTGTAATTCTTAAGTATTTCCTTTCTTTAGCATAGACTGTGTAGCGAAAAAAAGTTCGATTCCGATGTTTCTCTAATACAAATGTTCTCAAACAAATAGACATGAAACCAACAAGTTTTTTCTTAGAATATATAATAATGTATTTTCTCGTACAAGTAAAACAGAGGCCTAAGAAATATGTTTAGATAGATAGAAGACTTAACAGATTT